ATGAAATTATTATAAAAAAGACATAAAAGAATAACCAAATAAAAATTAATTTAATTCACTTCTTTTTAAAATGTCTTTACTGTGATAAATGTGTTTTGATTCAATAATTATCAATATTATTTTTTTTGACAGTTAAGATTTTTTACCTTCTGACAATTTTTCCAACAAATTTTTTAATGTATAGCAGTACTGACATCATTTTTAGAAATTTTTAGTTTTATGTTAGTGTTATGAGATAAAACATTTTAATAATTTAGTGTTTAGATCATTTAAATACAAGGAAAAAATCTGTAAGGAACAGTAATCTGTAAATTTATGAAAAACTACATAATTCATAAAATTACCAAATTTTTTACTCATTAAAAGAACAGATTTTATCAAAATACTAAACAAATCTTTAGGAAATATAGTCTTAATTAAGTCACTGAATATCATTGTACATATATAATTTTTTATATATTGAATTTCCTAATATCACATGATATTACTAAAAAAGTTATGAATTCTGGACTTTGTCTTATTTTCAAAGAACAACATAGAAATAAAATTGATCGTTTTGTTTAGTTTTCATTACTTCTACAAAATTTTTAAAATTAGTCTTTGCACAAGAAATTTTCTTGTGTATATTGCAGTTAAAATACTGAAATTGAATGTCATTAATATTAAATAAACAGTTTCCAAACTTAATTTTTTACTTACTACACTTGGTGCATTATCAATTGTTATGCATCAGTTTTTGAAAAGTTGTTCTTTATTAGTTATTTCATATCCTGTAGTATTTTTTAAGTGAACTTGCTAAGTCAACCAATTTTTGCATATCATGTCATATATGTAAATTTTTCTCCTACATTGCAAACCAGTTGGTACTCATACATCATCTTTGTTCTTGTTTCCTCTTTACATTTTGTTGCCTTCTTCTAGCTCTTTAATTTGACCTTTCTCTTTTTTTTCTTTTCCTTTCTAGCATGAACCTCTGAGTAGGCATTTGTCTTTCTTCAATATCTTGTTGCCATTATAAGGTTGAGCATGTTATTGTCTAATTTAATAACAATGTACTTCATTTATGAAATGTGTCTTACCAGTATAATTAAAAAGATGCTTATATGATCTATATATTAGTCTCTTGTTAAATATATTTGTTTTCATTTTTAACATTGTATTTTTTACTAAATTTTTATTTAGTTACAAATCCTTAATATATTCAAAAATTATTTTCTATTATGGAAAATCATCAAAAAGCAAAAGATTAATTCTTTTCATGATTCTTTAATATAATTCATATCACTGAATAGCTCTTCAAGTTGTGTGATAATGTTTTGTCTCAAAACTAGCAGATAGTGAGATAGAATTCTCCAAAACAAATTTTATTAAATTATATTATATTTTGTTTTTATCAGTTTCCAAGAAATGTGCTCCTTTTATTCTTGCTCAATTTCTATTTAGTCTTTCATGAATGAATTCATAATTTAACTTTACAGAAGATCTGCAAATTGCTGATTTTCAATATAAAAAACACAATGTCTTTAACATCACTTTTTCTCATATAAAATCTTATCTATCATTCTTGAAAATCTGCAGTGTTTGTTTTTCTTTTAATTGTTTTTTTTTTTCTTTAATGGGTGATCCTGTAGTTTTTAAAAATTACCAAATATTAAAATAATATTAAATGAAGGTATAGATTATTAAAAAAATTATTTAAATAATAAGTAATTTCAAATCAAAATTAATTAGAATATAATTTATAAAATATTTAAATATCCATATCATTTGTATTATTTTAAAATATAAAAATCTTTAAATAATAGTATATTTAACTGAAAAAAATGATCTTGAATAAAACTAATTTATTTTAAAGTTTTTAGTGATAATAACTATTTTCAATCAGTTTAATAAGATTATGTAACTAAGCATAATTCTTGAATCACTTTGTGTTAACATTTGTCACCTATATTGATGTCTTTATTTTTGTAATTTTCTCTTCCATGTTAAAAATATTTAATATGCATTCACAATTTAAAGAAGAAATATGAGTAAAAAGCAAAATTCAATATTAAGAATAGTATATTTGTCAGTGAGAATTTTTGTTTGTATCTATTTATGTGTGATTGATAGTATATATCAGCGTTCCCCAGCCTTTTTATCACCGTGGACCAGTCAACGTTTGATAATTTTACTGCGGCCCGCTGAGGGGGACGTTGATTGTTTATATTTTAGTTTGTTTTGATTTAATTTTAATTTAATTGTATTTAAACATGCCTTCAAAATAAAATACAGTTACACCAAAAATTGAATATAAAGTGATTTAACATTTTAACTCACTAGAATGCTAAATCAATGAGAACCCTGAGCTTGTTTCTTTGCAACGAGACGGTTTCATCTGGGGGTAATAGGAGACAATGACACCTGAAGTGTGTTGCTTATGTCCAGTTTATTCCGTTGTTTTGTTTTGGTTGCTATCACTGCAGAAAACCCTGCTTCACACAGATAGGATGTCAGAAATGGCAATAGGAATTTAAGTGCTGTGGTGGCAATCTCAGGGTATTCCGCCATGACTTTAATCCAGAACACCTGCAGAGTTGTTGTCTCGAACATAGTTTTAAGACTGCCGTCATTTGCAATCTCCAGCAGTTGATCTTCTTCTTGTGCAGACATGCTGGTTTGTTGACAAATGGGTGCAGATTCATTCCTTACCAGTTCATGGGTCTTTTGTGGTTGGGAAGTAGTACTCAAACTCTTTTAAAAGCAAAGACAGGTGATCATGCACCAACTGGGAGAATGAATGCTGAGGCTCAGTCTCGCCTAAAATCCCTGCTAATGTCTGAAACATGTCCAAAATGCCTCTGTTCACGTGCCGTCCCCACAACTCGTTTGGCTTTAAATGCATCTACTTTGTCTGCCAACTTGAAAACAGTTGTCATTTTCCCCTGAAGGGACAGATTGAGTTCATTGAGCAGGCTGAATATGTCACACAGGTAAGCCAGTTTTGCGACCATACCTTGTCACTAAAATGTGCTGCCAGCGGTGACTTCTTTTTTGAGCGAAATCTTTGCAATGGCTCTCGTAATTCAAACACTCTGGTTAGCGATTTTCCTCTGGATAACCATCTTATTTCTGTGTATAAGAGAAGTCATCTGTGCTCTGTGTCCATCTCCTCACAAAGCTGCTCAAACAGGCGTGAGTTAAGGGCGTGTGCTTTGATGTGGTTAATAACTTTAACGACATCAATCAGTTTGTTGTTAAATTCCAGTGACATTTTTCAGCTTGTCAGCATTTCCCTGTGAATGATACAGTGCGTAGATTCACTCTCAAGTGCAACCTCCTTAATTTGAGCAGTTAAACCAGACAGTCGTCCAGTCATGGCAGCAGCTCCATCTGTGCATATGCTGACACAAAAGGACCATTTTATTTGTCCTGATATATAACCATCCAGTGACTTGAACAGTTCTGTTCATGTGGTAGTTGGCAAAGATAGTGCACATAACAAATTTTCATGCACATCCTCCTGATATAGAAATCGCACATAAACAAGTAGTATTGCCTTGTTGTCGATATCTGTAGATTCATCAACCTAGAGTGTATACCACAGTGATGTATTAATCCTCTTCAACAATTGTGTCTCAATGTCTTCGGCTATTTTCTCAATGCGCCTAGTCACAGTGCTAGCCGACGAAGGCACACGTGCTATCTTTTCCACAGCAGCCTCTCCTAGAAGATCACGGCAAATGTCTTTAGTGGAGGGCAATATCAATTCTTCATTGATAGTGAATGGCTTTTTAGCCTTAGCAATATGGTTAGCCACCAAATATGATGCTCTCAGTGCATTCTCCTTTATTGATGTTTATTGATGTGGGCTTGTTTGTTAATCCAGGGTGCATGGCATTCAAGTGGTGAAGCAGTTTTGAAGGTTTCATTGCCTCATTAGAGAGCTGATCGCTGCAAACTATGCAGAGTGGGATTGGTGTGTGGGAATCACCTGTCTTGATAAATCCATATTTCAAGTAGGCCTCATGGTATTGTCTGTTAAAAGTTTTATGTTTCTTCAATATTGAAGGCTCTTCTTCTGTCTCTTCACTGGGCCATCTCTTGTTCCCAAAAAAACTTTTTAATGACATATGTTTCGTACTCATTTTTACTAATTTGTGGGTTAAATTTGAGCAGACACAATATACAAGTACATTGGTGATGTCAGACCAACTTAGACCAACCTAACAGATTTTAGGTGAACTCAACTTTCCCGCCTAAACCCAATCATTTTATACGGATTGAAGAAAACACTAATCGACCAATCAGCGTTTCATAGTGCTATCAGAAGTCCGCCGATCGTACAATGTTCACTGATGACCAATCAGCACTCCTGTTTTTGAAACTAACAGTCGTTTCTTGATCCAAGCTTTTACGGCGTCAACCATCAACCATTGCTCATTTGAAAAGAAAAAGGGCGGGAAATGTATGTCCAGATAATTCCATCGTGACACTCTCCACCAAAGCTACAACTCCACTGCCGCTTGCAGCCGCTCAGCTCCAGACGTCACCTAAAACCACCTAGATATCATGATATTTTGCGCATGCATGGTATTGGTGCGGTTTTAGGTGACGACTCTCAGCTCCCGGTTAACCACATGTCCATTAAAAGTTGCACAAACCCGAGAGAAATACACCACAGTAAATAAAATGGAAATAATTTAATGTTGCTTGGGTGGCCTGGGGTTGGGGACCACTGGTATATATCATATATGTAGTGCCATTTAGATTATGTAGCTTTTTAAGGAATCCATGGAATGAATTGATTCATTCAATCCAAGATTGTCTCTTGTGTTAGTTGTCCAACATGTAGTTTTTTAGAAATCTTGTCACCATTATATATAATTATAATTTGAATTTAAAAAATCATTTCCTTAAACTATCATTAGTTATAATAGTTTTAATTATGTGACAATTTTTGCATTTTTGATTCTTCATAATGTAGCAAAATTGGTTAGGTAAAAAACACAAGAAGCTATAAATTTTACCCATCAAATTAATTGCAAACCATAGGTTTGCCAGCCCCAATATAATTATTTATCTAATTTTCATAGCATTAATTTATGACATTAAATTGCAATTTAATATTTAATTTCTGTTCTAAAGATGTATCATTGGCTGAATCAACGACCTTTTTTAGCATTGAATCCTATGCAGAAAGCAGAAATTTTGGCTTTTCTATGCAATGAATTATTATGCAGTAGAGCAGTAATAAGGTAAGCATTATATTTAATTTTATAATTAATCATTTTAGGAATATTTTTTTAATATTAATACATTAATTTATTCAATTGTAATAGTGTTTCACTTTATTGTGAAACAAAATTTTGTCATGTTTAATAGTGTTGTAATACATAATTTATTTTAATTAAATACATGTCTTTGAGAAGGTTAATGCAGCTGAATTACAAATAATTTTAAAAATAGTTAAATAAGTAATAAAAAGTTAAATTTTATCAAATGTATGTGGAGTTTTTATTTATTGTTGTGTATTATTAATGCTTTTAAAAATGCATTTAAAGTTTGCTTTTAGAAGGAATTATTGTTGATTCAGTAATAGTGTGAGATATGCCGAGGATACTAACCAAGAGTACTACTTACACGACACAAAATCGCAAGATTTGATCTCTAAACTTTTTCTAGGAGAGTGTATATTACTTAACACGATCTAGAGGATTAGTTCTAGATCTCGTCAGGATCCTTGACACCAGTTAATCAATTTTGTATTATACGCGGATTAACACACATAAGGAGATGATACGGAGATAAATCCTGCATTTTGATTCAGAGTCGTAAGAGACATTTCTTTAACAAATAAAACAAAATTTAATGAAACAAATTAACAAAATTATACAAAATGGCATATTCAAATAAAGCATTTCGAGAGAGAGAGCTCACAATTGCTATTATAATCATACTACCTCAGTATAACTTTATCTTCTTCCGGCCTTTAAATTTATACTATAGTTCTTTCTTGAATAGGTCTTGAATGGCACATATTTAAATATTTCCTTCCCTATTTACTGACTTAAACTCATTTTATAAAATCTTTTGGATTTGACTTTGGGCGTTGGCCTTCAGGAGATGGTATGGAATATGTCTTCCTTCTTTCGGATTTCGTGGCATACTACTCAAATTATGCAAAATTCTTCCTCTTTCTCATGATTGTTCTCCAATCATCATATTGTATTTTCCCACGTGCACAGAGGAAAAGGGGGTTTATCAAGGGGTTACAATTTCCAGGGTGACTAAGATTTTTAGTAAATAAGAAAAAACAAAATGATGTTTCAACTTCTGTTGAAGGAAGTGACTTTTTCAGTTTCTCTTGTTTTAGAAAATATAATTTTCCCACCAAAATCAGAGAATATTTTTTGACAAAAATTTAACTTTTTAATTAAATTATTAATTATTCGCATGGGTAATTCAGATCTCACAATAGAATTAATTAGTAAGTAACAAAGTTAAGTAATATAATGCATCACGTTGTTTTAAGATAATTATAAATCATTTTAATTAATGAAGTTATTAATTTGACACAAATAATTTAAAGTTGTATTTTTTTATATTTAATATTGAGTTATTACATATTAATGATTTCATAGATTATTAATGAACTTAGTTTGAATAAAAAAAGGATGGCCTTTTTCTGAAGTAAGTTAATGTTATTTAATGAATTAATTGAAAATAAGCAAAGATAGAACAATTTGGGGGTCAAAGACTTTGTTAGCAAATATACATATAAAAATTCAGTCAAATTAGATTATATTTTTGATTATTTTATTTTTCCTATTCTTACTTATTAGAAACTTAATAATTAATAATATGAATAAGAAATAATTTTAATAAGAAGTATAGTTATACATTTAAATCATTTGGATCTTATCTACATTAAATCTAAAAGGACCAAAGCTAGAACTTAGTTCACTTTACATATAACAACACCTTTAAACACTGCAAGCATAATTTTTTCTTTTGACAAATGTTTTCTGCTCACTTGATAAGCCTTCCTTGGGCCTTAACGTTTTTCATGTATATTGATATATAAGGATTTACAATCTTTGTGATTTACAAATCTTTGTTAAAGAGACTTTATATCTCCAGTATTTCTAAACTTCTTATGTGCTGCTCATTGACTTGTCTTATTAATTTGGTTTCATCTAAATTTGCAACCACCTGTGCTCTGTTGCATATCTTGCTAATGCAGTTATTGGCTTGTTATGGTTGATATTATATTTATGCTTCTGAGTCTACTGGGTAATGATATGGCAGTGGAACCTATGTAGTTAAACAGTGGTTGAATTTTTCATCCATGATGAGGATGAAATATATCACTGGAGCCTTTTAATATTATTACGGTCTTTGCCATTGCACAGTAATTTGTATATCATGGCATTTGGTCATAGCACATATAAGCATTTAAGTATGAGGCAATCTGCCTATAAATTGAATTTAGGTTGGGATTATTCCATTTTTTTTTAATTTATACACTAAAGTCATCACGCCTGTTAATATTTTAATTTGGAACAGTGAAGTTTGGAATTCTTGACTGGCCTAAAGCAGACTTAGTCATCAAGTGAGCTGACTAATATTTGTAAAAAAAAAAAACTATGCTGGAAAGTGCTTAAGTGTGTGGTTATGTATAAATTATCTACATTGGAAAAGTATGTTTCCAAATTATCATGTATTTATTTACTCTTGACAAATATTAATAGTTACACCTTACATATTAATATTTTTACTTTATTGTTTCTGAAATTGCTATAAAATGTTTAATAGTTAATTACTAAAATTGTTTGCATTGTTTTTTTTTTTAAATTGTGCTATTGCTAGTAGAGAAGAGGATAATATTATTTCAATTGATAAAAATCAAGCTATATGAGTTTTTTTTAATGTTTTACTTTTATTTTATTCATTTTAAAAATTAGTTGAAAGAGAAACTTAATGTTAGCAAAGTAAAGAATTTTTTTCTATATTGTTAAGATTAGAATGTATTTAAAATTGATTTCAGAGTACTAGGATATTAATGATAAATTAGATTGCATTGGTGATGTTTTTTTGTGTCCACAGATGGTGCATGATAGTTAGTTATCACAGTCTTTAAATTTCACTCACCATGTGTTTCTCACATTAAAAGAAGGGTTTTTCAAACTTGCTCTTAAAATAAGCATTGTGAATGCATGGGTCATTCATGCCTTGACCACACAAAAACAAAGATACACAGCACTTTCATAAAACAATAATTTTTGGTCTTTTAGTTAGATAGCAAAATTTCAATTTAATAATAATTCATACCTAGTAGATTACCATAAAAATCTTAGTGACAGAAATTACATGTCTGTTATGAATAAAACACACATTTAATAATCCAACAAATAAAAATTAATAACATAAAAACATTTCTGACCATTTCTTAATGATCTTCTTCAGTTAACATACAGTTTGTTTTGAGTTGTCTTACGGCAACGCGAAAACAAAATTCTACCCAAGTTTCAACACTTTATTGTTTTGTACACCAGATATGTTGACAATATATTCATCTTGTGGCAAAGAAAACCTAACCTGCAGCAGTTTTTGGATATGATCAATAATAACCCTTACAGTTTATTACTACAAATGGACCAGGAGAGTGAAAATATTGTAAATTTTTTTGGACATTTCCATCACTTGCAGATAGGGAGAAATCTGGACCAGCATATGCAGAAAACCATGCTTTCAACTCATTTTAATTCCGCATAATTTGATAACTCTGCATCACATCAAATTAGTGGCCTTTAGGTCCTGGATAAAAAGAGCTTATATGCGTTGTACAAGCATAAAAGACATAATAACAGAGCTAAACTATATTCTAAGGATTGCAGAACAACAGGGATACTGAAAGAAAATCATAGAGAAACTAATCACAACTTTCCAAACAACTAAACAACGCCATCCTATCGTGGACCAAAGACAAAGGATGGTTTTAAATTATGTCTCGTTTTTAAGACAAATAAATAAAGAAACAGCCAAGACTAATAATTTCCAGGTGATATATTGACGCAATTCTATGGTTTTTAAGCTCTTAAGAAACGACTTATAGCGATATGACTGGAAATTGGCATCAGGGATCTATTCTATATCATTACACAATCAGTGTTTTAATTCTGATCTATGTGGGTGCAACGATGCTCAACTTGCAGCAATGTATCAAAAAGCATAAATGTTAGTGATGTAACGAATATTCGGTTAATAATCGGTATTCAGCCTATTTTTCGCTATTCGGCCGAATACCGAATATTTAATCACTATTCAGCCGAATACCTAAAAACAGGAGTAAGAAATAACAAAAACACAGTAAATTAATCATTTTGGTATTTAGATTTAATGTTATCGGGTTAGTGTTGTTTGTTTATATTTATTTATAACTTATAACATGCACAAAATTAAAAAATAATAATATTAGTCACATGTATTTACAATTTATAATTACAAATATCAGCACACGTACACACCTATTCATTCGAGAATCATTGCACACATGTGAGGTTCAGGAAAGAGCAAAGACAAGTGCTTAAAAAAGGATAGGCAGGGTCAGCCTGCCTATCCTTTTTTAAGCGCTTGTCTTTGCTCTTTCCTTTCTCTTTCCTCTTTCTCTCTAGTCCACGTATGCCTATGCGTACATCATAATACATGCTCACAATACTTTCGATTTGTCACTTTTCCGTCGTAGTTTTTCCATTTTATAATTACGTGACTCATAGCCTGGTGATAACAGAGAAAAGAGACAGATAGGACGTCGGTATAAGTCACAGTTATGATTTCACAGATTTGAGACAGCTTGGTATCCCAAACAGCCCCAGGCTTTCGCCTTTGCATGCTAAGTGACTTTTATTACAAGCATTTAGCTTTCCGAAGTCTGTCACAACAATTGTTTGGCATTGACGGCCTCGAATTTCGCTTTTGTTCGATTATGTTATCAACTCAATTTCATATTTATTTTCACATTTTCACTTCGTGATCCTTCTCTGTTCTTTTTTCCGTTATTTACACATGTAGGTCATTTCATTGTTATCCACATTTGATATCATCGCTTATCACATACTGCCACAATGCTCTTGTCTGTCCACTACGACTGTCAAGAATTAGCACGATTAGCAAAGCGTAGTGACTGAGGGGCAATGGAGAGCAGGGTCCTTGCCATAATGCGGTTTGCATGCCAATTTTCGTACATGTGTTAATCAAGCCAAATAATTTGGCCGAATATACTATTCGTGGCAACACTAATAAATATACAATTAATAAGAACCTTGACAACACCATGCTATCAGCATACGCAAGACAACAGGACATTCAAGTTCATCGGATCGGGCAGAAATAATTAAACCTACAACAAATTTACACACAATGAAATATCTGGAGAAGTTAGAAATCTTTAATTAAAGCGCACAAGAAAACACATCAACCATAGAAATGTGGACACTTTACCTACCACATGGCAATCCTTTTACAAAAATTAATGATATTAAGAGACTTTATTTGTTTCATTTTTTATTAAGGGACATTTTTGGCTTAATTTATATTATTTCTGTATTTGTTTATTTTATCCATCACATCTACATTTCCGTTATTTATATTTTTATTTTCGTATTTACTTTTTTTTTTTTTTTTTGTTCGATTTTATATTCTATTGTACGTTAACTGAAGAAGATCATTAAGAAACGATCGAAAATGTTTTTATGTTATTAATTTTTATTTGCTGGACTATTGAAGGTGTGTTTTATTCATAGTATATTTACCCAGTTTAGTTTGTTATATATAAGTATACATGTCTGTTATAGATAATAGTGACAACTGTATTCCAATGTATAATAAAATACCTGTATTTTATAAAAGAGTGTTATGGTAAAATTTATTTAAAACAGTAAAATTAAAAATAGGTATAAAGAAACTTGTATGTTCTATAAATTACAAAAGGAATGATTTGGAAAGTTATTTTCAAATTTATTTAAAAGTTTTTAAAATTATGTATTTGATTGAACTCAAAGTACTTCATGCCAAAATCACATACAAAAAATGTTTATAATGCTGAAATTCAGTTTTATTCTTAAAGAGTTTAATTGAACATAATTCATAAAATGTATTATAGTTATTCTCAGGTGAGAAAGTTTCTGACAAAGAATAAAAGATTTGAAACTGCTTTGAATCTCTGAGAGATGGAATGCATGTTAGAAATTTGAAAAGATAACATATAAAATAACAAAAATTTAAAATTTAAAAAGTTGACCTTTTGCTGTCCTTGTTCATTTAAAAGAAACAGTTTATACATTATCCTTTCAAATTTGTAATGTGTAATCCATCTTTTATGGATTTGAAGCAGTCTCAAATCTTTTGTGTGCTATAACAGAATAACAGAACTTTCTCATCTGAGGATGACAGTAATACACTGTTGAAAATACTTATGAATTTTGTTCAGTTAAATTTTTTATAATGCCAAAAGACTGTTGCATTTTTCTCTCTATATGAATTTAATTTACTTCTATGTTTTACTTTAATATTAGTCTGAGGAATGAAAAAAAAAAAATCTAATTAGCTAATCTAAGTTTCTATTTAATTTTTGTTATTTTATGATTCTTTTACAATTTTATTAGATAATTTAATGCAAAATATTACAAATTCTTATGTGTAAACTATAATAGTTTTTTTTATATACTGTATATATATTGAATGTAATGTTTCATAAAACTGTCTATAATAATGATCTATAGTAAATTTTCTGTTAGGTTTTTTATTGATTTTTAAGTGAATTGCTTTTTTGTAAATTATAAGTTATTTTGTAAATTTCTAAATGTTTATATTTTTTTATAAGTTTTTATTCAGAAGTAAAAAATTAAATTATTTTATTTGGTATTAAGAAGAGATTTATTATTTTCAGAATTATTATTGCTAGAACAGCCAAGTAAAATAAGAAAAAAGTTTTTTTAAAACATTGTCAAACTTATAATAACTTTATGTAAAGGTTCCTTCTCACCAGGTACTGGATCAATATATATAAAAATCAATTGCTCTATCTACTTATGCTTCGACCCCGGGCATAAGTGCCGACTTACATAACATGTGAATCATTAAACTTTCACACAGAAGGGAACACATAAGAACGCTAGAAACCTTGGAAATATATAAAGCGGGGTTACAAAATAACTGCATCAACTATAAAGATGCGAGTAATATTTCTACAGCTTGGAGGTTTGTCATTGATGGTGAAGGCCCCCACAACTCTAGTTAGGATGTTGTTAACATTTCATGTGTGTGAAAAATAAGATTGTTTTGATAAGATTGTTTAAATATATTTTGCGTATGCAATGCTTGATACGCATGCTCATAATGAGTTGAATATGTTCCAAAACTTTTAAATCTGTAATCACAACGGCTTTTCGAATCTCTAAACGTTTAACCTGAAGAAGGCCGAAGAATACGGTCAAAAACGTTTGTTTTTCAAATAAATATTTTACTGGTCAAAGGTTTATTGTCAATTGATTTTTATAATAACAATATTAAGTGTTAAAAGTGCTATTTTGTTAAAGTTGTTATTATTTAACATTTTCTTAGGGTTTTGGTAGAAATACATAAAGTTTGTTTTTCTTGTTTTACCTGACTATTCTAGCATTGATTTTAAAGATAAGAAATACCTTTTCATATTTAGAATAATAAAAAATTCAGTATTAAGTAAAATAAAGTTTGATTTTTCTCTCAATAAAATCTAAAGTTTAAACCTCAGAACAATTTTTAAAAACTGATAAGAGAGTTTGTAATAATAATTTTATCATACAAATATATTAAATACTATTAAAAGTAAATTTATTAAGAAGTTAGAGCACACATTCAGGGAAATTTAAAATTAATCACTTAAATAAAGAATGTACAAAATAATTACAAATCTACACAAATTTTTTAAACTGCATTTCATTTGATTTTTGTAGGCAAATAGATAATAATATTGAAGCTGTTAATTCTCTGCGTAAAGATAAATGGTTGATTGAGGGTGATCTTCGAAAGTGAGTATTTTTGAAAGCAATTGTAATTTCAAAATATTTACTGTATATGTATGCTTTCTAATTTTACTAATTTATTGTTTATAAATTTTATTCAAAATTACTTTCAAATAAGTTAAGTTAGGAGATACACAGTTTTATTAATGATACAAGAAAACAAACTAAAATGTTTCAAACTAAGCACTTTAGCCTTTTTAATTAAGGCTTCTTTAGATTAAAACTCCATTACAGATTGGAACTTATAGAAATTAAATAGATTTTAAATTAATTAAATTAAAATCTGTTTATTTGATTTCTATATCTATTTTATTATAATTTTATACTACAGAATAATTAATGATATTACCATTACTAATGACATATTCTGTATAATTCTTTCTGCTGCTTTTATAAAGATATATATAACACAGGTCAACAAAAAAAATACTGTTTTTTTTTTGTGCCTAGGATTTTAGAACTGATTTTAGCTATATTTAGATCACTGAATCCAAATATGAAATCAGTTTTTCTCTATCAGCTCTACTTTTTCTAGATCTGTGTTTTTTTAATGTACAGTGCTACATGAAATGTGCAGCTCTAATTCCAGTTTGTACAGTTCTAAATCACATATGCAAGAATTGATTCCTGTATATTTTCCCCATTGTTAGTCTGCCGTCCAGTTAGTTATAGGTAAATCCACCAAATGAAGTAAGCATTTGGTAACGAATTGACGTTCAATGCTTCAACTAGAGTTGAGGTAAGTTTGTAAGTTCTAGCCGTGCAGTGTCTAGATCAGGTGTTTCCCAACCTTTTTTGTGCTATGCCCCACCTAAGTCTTTCTAAAATTCTTATGCCCCCCTAACATATACACTTAATTGCCACACTGTTTTGTCATAACCACGATAAAACCTGATCCTTTTATCAAAGTCTCTTGTACTTTCCAGTTGTTGCCAAACGCAACCTGGAACACAACTCATGTCTGTCCACCTCAAGGTCTGGGCAAAGAATGTCCTTTCTCCTCTTTCATCAGCATCAGGACTTCATTCATCTCTTTTGTTCTCAGTGGTTCCAAGAATTGTTAATTCCACCCCAAGGGAAAAGGGTTATAAAGGAAAGTTCTAGAAGGAAAGGGAAACAAAGAACAAAGTACTGTTTTATAGATGCTTTTATTTGTGTTGTTGAATAGAAATAAAATGAGTTCAAGTAGAAGTTGTGTAAATCATTCTGATGTGTTTTGCTACATATGCAGAGAATATATGTTAAAAGAAAACAGAAAAACTATTTATGACTTTGTAAAGAGAGCTTATCTTGGATACTTTGGTGTTAAACTTGGTGATCAGGATAAAGGCTGGGCACCGCATCAGGTCTGTAAAAGTTGTACAGAACATTTACAACAGTGGACTACTGGGAAAAAAAAAAGTCTGAAATTTGGCGTACTGATGGTTTGGAGAGAACCCAAAAATCACTTCGATGACTGTTATTTCTGCCTAGTAAATATTAATGGAATCAATCATAACAATTGTAGCAAGTGGACTTATCCTGATTTAGTCTCTGCAAAACGCCCGGTCCCTCATTCATAGGAAGTGCCAGTTCCATCATCTCACCAGCTACCAGAGCTCTGTGAGGACGAGTATCCCTCTGATCCTAATGAAGGTGACTGGATTATGAGAGAATGTCATCAATTCCTCAAAGTTTCAACCAGGATGAGTTAAATGACCTCACTAGAGATCTCAACCTGCCAAAAGAAGCTTCTGAATTATTGGCTTCCAGGTTGAAGGAGAAAAATTTACTGGAGCAAGGAACCAAAATTACCTTTTACCGTACAAGAGAAAAGGATCTGCTACCCTTCTTCTCTCAAGAAGACTATCTTGTGTTTTGTCACGAAATTAGAGGACTCTTGGAAAAAATGGGCCTTGAATATTTTTCAGATGATTGGTGCCTATTTATTGACAGCTCAAAACGAAGTTTGAAATGTGTCCTTCTACACAATAGGAACAAATATGGTTTAATACCAATTGCTCACTCAACGAAAATGAAAGAAGAATATAACACCAAAGCTCTGGTCTTGGAGAAGGTAAAGTATCGTGAACATCAATGAGTAATTTGTGTAGACTTAAAAATGGTAAACTTTCTCCTTGGACAGCAAATTGGCTACACCAAATATCCTTGTTTCTTGTGCCTCTGGGATAGCAGAGACAAAACACACCACTGGGTTAGAAAAGAGTGGCCTAAGAGAGAAAACATGGACGTTGGAGACAGAAATGTCATTAACGACCCTTTAGTTGAACGAGAGAAAATCATCTTTCCTCCACTGCACATCAAGCTAGGCCTAATGAAGCAGTTTGTAAAGGCTCTTGATAAGAAGGGATCATGCTTTGCATATATAGGGGAAAAAATGTCTCAGTTAAGTATAGAAAAAATTAAAGCAGGAATATTTGATGGCCCACAAATAAGACAACTCATTAATGATCTTGCCTTCATAAATTCGATGAATGAAGCTGAGTGAAAAGCCTGGACTTCATTTGTTGCAGTTGTCAGAAATTTTCTAGGCAAACACAAAGCTGAAAATTATGTTGAACTGGTAAACGAGATGCTTAACAGTTTCAAATCCCTTGGGTGTAATATGAGTATTAAGATGCACTATTTAAACAGTCACTTAGACTGTTTTCCTGAAAATTTAGGAGACATCAGTGAAGAACAAGGTGAAAGATTTCACCAGCTATTAAAACTATGGAGGATCGCTACTAAGGAAGATGGGATACGCATATGATGGCAGATTACTGCTGGAGTTTAAAAAGGGATTGCTCCAAAATACATTCACGAAAGTCAGGGAAAAGAAGCTTCCTCAATATGTAACTGTTTAGTTTTATTGATGACTTTTTCCTTTATCTTTCTATAGAATAATATTTGCATAATATAATAATAAAAATTCCGTGTTTAGTTTTTTTTATTTGATCCATGGATTTAACTTAAGATATTGAAACGTATATTTCGCTAAAGTGTTATATCTTAAACAAAATTAGAGCTCCTAGGCAAAAACTAATGCCGTATTTGAATTCAAGACATCAAATTCATATGAAATCAGCTCAAAATACCTGGCCACTAAAACCACTGTTGACCTGTGTAATTTGTCTGTTTATTTATCAGGACTACAGTGGGACCATTAAGTTTAGTTAATGAAAAATTCAATGTAAAAACATAAATATGCAAAGTAGTGACCAAGTAATATCTAATTGTGCAGTAATTTCAAATAAAGCCAAATGTACTGCTATTAATAAATAATAGAATAGAATAAATTGAAACAAAATTAGGGTATGAATTAATACATAATGGTTATTCCACATATTATTTACACCCATGTTGCAAAATTCATACAATATGGTTCTTTATTGAAAAGAATATAGGAATATTTTGGCATTTAACATTTCATGAGATATTTTTCACTATATAATTTATAATTTATGATTAATTGATAATGATAAAAATATATGTTTTTAAATGATCTGTAACTAAACAATGCCGTAAGTAAAAATATGTTGAAATATTTTTTAACATGATTTTTTCTCTATTGTTTGAATATCAGCATGAAAATTTAAAATATTTTTATTGTAATCTTGAAATTTTGACAAAAATTCAATGTTTTTCAAATAGATTCACCTATTCATTTTTTTCTAATATTTAAATAAATAAAAAAAACAAATATAATAATTTTCTGCTTTGTTTCATGATGAAAAAGTTCGTAAGATATAAACAAAATAGTGCTGCCCATACAATAGCCAAGATACTAGCATCTAAATATTGTATCTCAAATAATAATTATGTAGTGTAAACATTGTTAATAAAATATATTATATTTGTTTTTTTTTTTTATTTAAATATTAGAAAAAAATGAATAGGTGAATCTATTTGAAAAACATTGAATTTTTGTCAAAATTTCAAGATTACAATAAAAATATTTTAAATTTCCATGCTGATATTCAAGCAATAGAGAAAAAATCATATTAAAAAATATTTCAACATATTTTTACTCACGGTATTTAGTTACAGATCATTTACAAGCATATATTTTTATCATTATCAAAAATTATAAATTATACAGTGAAAAATATCTCATGAAATGTCAAATGCCAAAACATATTGTATGAATTTTGCAACATGGGTGTAAATAATATATGGAATGCTCCATGTATAAGCATTTCCATAATATTTGCAGGCTTTTGCAAAATTTTTTATTAAAGTATGATGTAAACATCTTAAAAACTCAAACATTTAAAGCTACATTAAATAGTAACAGTGCATCTGTTTTTTTTTTTTAATTAATGATAATGAACAAGTTTAAAACTAGACAAATTGTCTTAAAATTGAAACTAATTTTAGCAATCATTTTAATATTTTTCTTATGATGCTTTTGTAGAAAATTATTTTTTTATGAGTACTTATGCTGTTTTTCTTAATTTTCTAGTCATTTTTGGAAATTTTTAATATTGGTATTAACACTAGTATTATTAAAAAGTAGTATCAAAATACTAATATAGAATTTTCATCTGGCATTTTAATCCTCAATTTTTGTGTAGTTTATCTAGTTTTTTTTAACTTTCTTGTGATCTATTAAAAGAAGATTGATGTAATTTTACTATCTGTTTAGTGGTTGCTAAAAAAGGATCAAAAACATTGTGTTCCAGAGATAACCAACGATCACCTTAAAAATTGGGCTATAATCTGGCTAATTAAATGATTGACATAAAGTAATTTGTCATTAGAGGTAGAAGTTAGGTGCCATCTCTTAACTAAATTAATAATTACTAGCTGTGCCTGCAGTTTCGCCCACGTGGGATTCAGTTTGTGACTATAACAGTATCAGTTAGATCAGTGTTTCACAACTGGTGTGCTGTCACAAGGTGAAAGGTGTGGCATAAACTTTTACATATTCTATTAATTTCAAGTTTTATTTATATATTTTCATCACAGTTGTTGTGTTTCTTATGCTTGTATTTCATTCATTAATGAAATAAGATGATGTTAAA